GGGGGGGGGTTAAAAACAACCACATCAACAAAAATATCATTATGGATGTGGTATTCCGAGGTCAAGACTCTCTTAAATAATCTTACTACAGTGTTGCAAGGGGCGTAAACTTATACAATTTCGTATATTGTTTTTCAGTTTAGTGTCAAAGTATTATTACCTTCCACCAGCATAAGCCGTCCCATTGGTGGATCCGAATGTTGAAACCATGACAGACAGAGGTATGATGACAGAGGCACCTCTGAGCACTCTGTCTCCCCATAACTGTGGAGAGGCAAGAAAATGTTTCTGGACTAAGAGGTCTGAGAGGTCACGACAAATAAGGACACAGAGTTGTGTTATGTTATCGTTATCGCTTGAGCACGGTATGGTACTATAAAATATACTACCTGTATTATCTTTTTAATGGTCATGTTTGGTATTAAACAGTCTGGCATAGTGTGGTATGACGTGGTATGGTACGGTATGGTATGGTATGGTATGGTATGGTATGGTATGGTATGGTATAGTATGGTATGGTATGGTATGGTATGGTATGGTATGGTATGGTAGGGTAGGGTAGGGTAGGGTAGGGTAGGGCATGGTATGGTGTGGTATGGTATGGTATTTTTGTTTTAGTAAGGTTTTGCTTCGCTCGCAACTGTATAAGGATTATGAGCGCCAAGGGGTGGATGTTAACTGAGCATAAATCCAAAAAGGAATCAGGCTTACTTTGCTCACCTCTCTAGCCTCAACAGCACAAAGCCTGCTTTTACTTCTACTATCAAGGCACCCCGGAAATAGCAGTTCACAAGAGAGTGACAAATGTACAAAAGAAGTAGAAGGAAAAGGACGACGGTAAGGGCGAGGAAAGAAAAAGCAGCAATTCCCCCTATGTTGTTCCGGCACAGTATGAGCATGACAATGATAAATCAGCCCATTTACTATTCTACTGAACAAAAGAACATGTTGATATCCCCGCTTTGGGAATGGCCTAAAGACAACATCAGTCGGTAACACTGCCCTGGTGGGGGGAATGGTATGGAATGGTATGGTATTGTATGGTATGTCGTTGTATCATATGGAATAGACAGGAAATTATATTACGGTGTCGTTTGGTATGGCAAGAAATGGAGCAAGATTGGACCCCTTTCTAGAACAGTGAATTCATTGGTTATTTAAGAGGGTGATCCAACATTTTAACGATCGTCTCTAGCAGGAAAAAGCCAAGTACAAGGTCTGCCAAAATAATAACATATATAACAGCATGAATAATAATAATAATATGTTAAAAATGACCATCAAACTAAAGCCTAAACTACGGGTTTCTGAATTTGTCCATGTGAATAATAACAAAATGTGGGCAAGGCAAAGAATACTGAGAACCCAGCTCAATTGCTTCTTAAACACATGAAAGTGAGACCAAGTGGAAAACGAATTGTTGTGAGAAACTGATAAATAATGAATGATAATACGAGTAGATTACTATTTATCGATCCCCGTGAGGAAATTTGGGTTACAATGGCAAACATACATACATACATGATTATAAATAAATCTACTTGCAAACATGAATACATGTACATACAAACATGCCATTGTTGGTCTCCACTATGCAGCGGCCTGGTTTCTTTTTTAGTTTGGATTGTCGTGTGTCGCTCGAGGACACACCCCAGTGACCACCCACTTTAACCCCTGTCACCGACACTTGCTTGACATATAAAAACAGGGCAGCTTGCACTGCATGCCTCTCATCGATATTGTTTCAGAATGCTATCAGGTCTGCCGGGGTAATAATACCGAATGTAAAGCGTGAATTTGGGCTATACAAATGCTACCTATTATTGATGATATCACTTTTGAGTCACAACTCACAACTCACTTCGCCACTGGAGCCCCTTAAATACGTATGCGTCCCGACACGTCAAATTTGAGATATTTTTAAGTGGGGTTATTGGTAAGGTTTATCTAGCATCTGCGTTTGTTGCCATTTTTTTGTCCAAAAGTTGCCAAAAGTTGTCACAAAAAGTGGCAAAAGTTGCCAAAAAAGTTTCCATTAGTTTTCACGCTTTCAACTCTCTGTGACGACGTATAAAGCAAAATGCTGATAGAGGTAACAATCTAAAGCGCCAGAATTTTTTGTGCTCTGTTTTAAGCATTCAGAATATTATCATTTGTACTCACCTAGAGTTTAAAAACATGAAAAATAAAGGTTTCACAACAGAACGAAATCAAAATTAGAACAGTACGGATAAATAACCACAAAAATTAACAAATTAAGGCCCATGTCCACCTGTCCGAAGATTGGCTGTTTTAACACTAAACGTGTGTATTTCAAGAAAAAATAGGCCTACAGGATATTACATGTAAATTACGGTATTACACACAATTGGGGCATGCCAGTGTCAGTATTCGGTTTTTGGGGAGACACGCTCTAACACAACTCATTTATATTTTTAAAAGGGTAGGAACAGCATCAAACTAAATGACATTACGCTGTATAAACACTCACACAAAAAAAGAAAAACAAATCATCAGAACAATTTTTTGAAAAATTAACACACGAACACATTAAAGCACAACAAAGAGGGGGAAATAAAAGAGAGAAATATAAATAGAATGTAATGTAATGTTCTTATATTCTCCGCATGAAAATAGATACACATGCATGAAGATGTCTTCAAACTTACCAAAATACGTGTCTAATATGTTATGAAGTAGCTTTGTTGTTTTGTCTTTTTTGAAAAATGCAAAAATCGCGGCCGCGATTCGGGGACCAAAAAATGCCAAAAACCGCGGAACGCAGATGCTAGGCTTATTCTAAAGAATGTTAATTTGTCTGGCTTTGAATGAAAAAAACAACAAATCCATCTATCTTGAACAGAAGCGGAGATTTTCTACCATTGAAGGAGGTGGGTTCACATCATATGACATTATGCAGTTGCGAGGGCAGTATAAAACTCTTACCAAGACAAAAAGAAAAAGCTGTTGTATCATAATGGCAGAAAGTTAAGATTTAGCCAATAGGATGTGAACGCACGGCTTAGCTGGTAGAACTATCTTATAAAAACCCCTTCTTCTTCTTGATGTGAGAAATCTATTTCTATTGTAACAAAGCATCCATGTGCAGAATACCTTTTTTTTTACTTTCACCTTCCTTCTTCCTTCTACCCCTCTCCACCCACTCTGCCCCCCCCCT